GTTGGCATGATGGACAGCCCCTCATGGCTAAACAACCAAAGATAATCTGAAGCTCCTATGTTTAATAGATTTTTTCAGGAATAACCATTTTTGCATGTCCAGACACCCCTTTTTCAGATAAATTGGGGTTCCGGGGGGTGGGGGGCACTGATTGGTGGGCCTGATGGAGGGCCAGAGCCAGAGCTTCATCAGAACTAAACAACAAAAGAAATCTGAAGCTTCTATGTTGAACAGTTTCTGAGTTAAATAAGTTCCTTTAAATATATTTACAAAAAGAAATGAGAACAATACAAATACAAAAAATACACAAGCAAATCCCCGCATCCATATGTGGTTCTTGAAACCACTATAAGTCAAAGTTCAGTTTGTTCCACAAATTAYGCTTGGCTCAACAAGCAAAAATAGGCTTGGCCTCACAAACAAAGGCAGAAGGCTTGACTCTACAACCAAGAGGACTTGGCTCCACAAGCATAAGYTACATGTATGTTAAGGTTATACTTAACAACAAAAATACACTCCTATAATGAATGAAACTGAAACTGAAATTTACAGACATCTCCCGAATGTGATACTGAAGCCTGATTAGTTGTTGTCTATTTAGTTGAACACGACGTTGAACGGATGTTAAAAAATATAAATAAACATCAAGTCATCCAGTTTTTCTTTTCTTCTTTCCTTCTGCTTTACAGCAGGCGRTGTCATCTCCATGGACGAGACCTCCACCCCCACGTGCGGATACGAGTGGTAGCCTACGGATTTTTAGAAAAAATTATAGATTTGAGGCTCATCATTAGACATGTGCACGTCCAAAGGGGTTGACATGTATGAACATCTTCACAGCTGGCGAGGGTGTGCGCGCCTGGCGCAAGTAGCTATCCGAAGCGCGAGCCTGCTGCACTACGGCCACAACTCTACACTCAGCATCAGCCAGAAGGCTACAAYCAAATAATAATTATTCTTACCGTACAGTGAGCCACCATTTGCATCTGATTTTGCTCCCTCTCTTCAGCCTTTTTTATTTTATTATTTTTTTAATGCCGCGCACGTAGCTAATGTGTCGGGTTTTTCCGGCCTGGGACCTAAAAGTTTTTCAGTGCACCCCAATTCAGCTTCTTCACCAAAAGTAAATAAAAATGCACCAAGGAAACCAAAACCGCTGAATTACATATGATTCAGCCCATTCCTGTCCAAATCACAGAGATGCCTATTRGCTTTGGATTAGTATTATCACAGAACCTCGGAGTTCAGCAAAATATAGCAGGTAATTTGTGGGGGAATTTTTACTTTACAWATTACTGACATGGCCGATTCTCATGGGATTAACAACACAYACAATCTCTGCAATTATTACAAATAGCATGGGGTCCCCAGGTAAAACTAATCCTGTCAGAATAGGGTTTAAGGTGAAGACAGGTGAAACAACTAAAGATGTGCAACTCCATGTTGCCASACTGCAATGTAAATAAATATATGATAAATTATAATTAGATGTTTTAAAGCTTTAATTTGATTAGAGTTGTATTAATATACTTTTTGCAATTATGTTTTAATCCAATACAAGCAATATACACTGCTCAAAAAAATAAAGGGAACACTTAAACAATGCACGCTAACTCCTGATCTTAATGAAATATTCACATTGAGTACTTTGTTCTGTACAGAGCTGAATGTGCTTCACAAAAGTTTGATTTACTTGGACTTAGCGTGCGTTGTTTAAGTGTTTCCTTTATTTTTTTGAGCAGTGTATTTCCCTGCATTTCTCCAGCTTGTGCTCATTTCTTCCTGGTTCTACAACAGCTTGGTACTGCTGCATGTCTCTTCTTTTGTAGCTTGTTCACAACCTCTTGTTGCCACATTGGGTTTCTGCTGCCTGAGATATTCACTCAGCAATTCATTATTTGTTTCTTTCATCTTGATATGCTTCAGGATCTTTGTTTCATCCTTCATAGTGTTTCAGACACTTAGTGGTCTTCTGCCTCCCTCCTCCTTTTCCTTATATCTGTTAGGCTTGGAATGGAAGCCTTCCTGTCTTGTTGAGTAGCTTCTATCTGGGAGGTTGACACAGTGGTTATGTTAAACAAATAAAAATGGTCAATATCAGACTTCACATTTTTTACATTTATAGCCATGGGCGGACAGAAATTTCTGACCACAACTGTAAGTTTTTTGTCTTGTCTGTGCAGATGAAAAGTAGGTTTAAGTAAAATGGAATAAAAACTACTGATGCTGATGTTCAACTCAATTTAAACTTTATTTTGAAAGTTTAACATACATGAATGTAAAAAAAAGTCGGATAAAACTTATATTAATAAAAATGAAAAGGCAATTCAACAAAATAAAAGTTTCACATTTCACTTAATAACAGATTGGTAAAATGAACTGAAGGGTGGGGCCTAAACAAGTATTTTTCTGTYGCCATGGTAAAATCAGGTTCACAGGGAGCAGGCTCCATACAACTGTTCCTATGAGAACATGCCTAACTCCAGCCTTCATAGAGCAGGACCTAAAGGGCGGGGCGGGGGGGGGGGSCTTTTCCCTCTGTGGGCATGGAAATATCAGTTTGAGTACAAGAAGCAGGGTCTAAAAATACTTTTTTACAGGGGTGTGGCTAATACTAGCATGTTTACAAGAGACAGAATCAGAACAGTCTGATGGGAAAAAAACAGCAGACAGAATTAATGGGAACAAACTAGAAAGGGTTTAAAGTGACCCCTCCCACAGTGAAGTTAGTGACATGCTACAGGTGAGTGACCCCTCTCACAGTGATGTCATCAACTCTCACAGGTGGGCAGTTTATCCCACATTAATTTCAATGACACCTCGTGAGTTCAGCTTTAGTTCATTTTTATTTTTCACATGATTTCTAGACTCCAGGAACACTGATAATCTGGGTGTATTTTCAGTGTTTAAATGAATAATGACTCAGTGAAAATGTCACCATTTAATGTAGCTGCTTAATCAATCTCAAATCATCTTTTAACAGGAAATGAATTAAAGTTCATCACAAACTATTTCATCTACATTTAAAAGTTAATTTGTAACTGGTGAGCGATCAGTAACTATTTATAAGTGATCAGTCAACAGCAGGTTTCTGCCCATGCATCAAAACTTTCTGGCAGCTGGTTATTTGAAACCTTTAAGGACAACGTCTTTTCAATAAAAAACCTGTCAGAAGACTTTTTCTGACTTCTTCATGTGATATTCTGTGGTCAGACCTTCTTGTTGGTCAGCAGCAAAGCTAAATTATCCAACAGTTCATCACAAACCCTATAACGCAGACAGGTATTTTATAAACAAGGAATCTGTTCATCACAACAGTAAGAAAAAAACAATGTTTCTCACTATAATTTGACACATTTTAGCAAAATCATACAGACAAGCTGACTTGAGCCTGTGGAATATTCAGTTGTGAACACTACAGTCAGAAATCAGATGGGTCAGAGGTCATTCACATGTTGTCTGAACGTCCAGAAAAGTCAAATGGAGGACAGATGGTTAGGTCATTTCAGGTCACACAAAGGTCAGGTGTAGGTCATTGCACCTTTGGTGCTACTGTCCAGGAAAACTTTGATGTATGATGTAGGAACGTATCCCTCCTCCTCCAAGTTTCTCCGCACTCTAGTCCAGCCATCCCCTTTGTCCTCTTCCACTACAGAAAGTAGTTCCCCTTCCACCATTGACAGTGTGCCTTCATTCTGACCTGCAGGGAATAAAATTTTGATGCGATTTTGGCCCTGTGGCTTAACTTGTGGTTACAAACAAACCACGCAGACCTAACAGACCTAACACTAACCACACATTTAAATAATGGAATCAAACAGAACTAAGATTAAGCCAACATTCAGACCACAGAACTGCAGTATCATTAACCACATATTCAGACCACACAGCCACACAAAGCTAACAATAAGCACCTGTTCAGACAACAGAACCAACACCCTTACAGAACCACATATAACTAGCACAAAGCATTATAGAACACAAATTAGAATCAAGTATCACTAGAGAAAGGTGCACAGAACCTATGAAACAACAGAACCATTTGGGCTTTGAGCATGTGATGAGACTGATAGAACAAATTTAACGTAGATCAAACTTTTCTTAGATCAGTACATTCAGTATGTGCTGGAAATGACCTCACTCTCTACACAGCTCTTCATAAATACAAAGGCAGATTAAATGGAAACAATATTTTTTAGTAGCATCCAAACCTTCTGACCAGACATTTCACCTGGCAGGGATTAGGGTTTGTGTGTTTTAGTGTGTTTGAGATGTTTTCAGAGCTATGTAAGGGTCCTAGTAAGGACATCAATAAGGCAACATTTATCTGGTAAAAGGTGGACAAGAGGTTGTGCACATGTTTGGTAATGACTCACATAGAATACTGCAGCTATTRGACAGACTAAAACACCTTTGGAAAAAACTAAACTTTTCATTTCAGCTCCAGAGACTGCAGAAAATAAATTACCTTGAAATGGGTACAGGGACTTGCAGGTGCCAATACTCGGTAATGGTTCTTCATCATCAAAGTCATCATCAAACTCTGAACTACGGGACTTAAAATGCAGCTCTGCATTGTGGTCCTCTGTGTAACTTCCATCAGGACTGATAGGAGACAGAAAACCTCAGAAAGTGAAATCAAATCTGGAAAATAAAACTAACAACAGACAAACTGCAGTCATGACCAAAAGTTTTGACAAACAGAAATGTTGAATTTTATTTMATTTTTTGGCTCAACATGATTTTTTCTTGAGGGTATTGGAAAATAATGTGCCTGGCTCCTCAAAATGTTTGGATATTTGGATTAATGATAGCAGGATTTCTACTGATAGGCAGAAGTGTATATCCAGCCTATCATGAAATAAGAACAGRGCTGGCAACACTCAGACTGAAACACTGGGGGTGATGAACAGCAGGCTGGATGCTGTCTTCACTGGGGGGCGTATGCTAACTGTCGCTCCTGAGCCCASTGGTGGGAATGTAGTTCAAGTTCAAGAATCTTTATTATCCCCGAGGGGCAATTTGTTGTGCAGCCAGTAGACATGAAAACAACAAAAACATTCATGCACAAATACACAAAAATCACAGATGTTTCTTAATAAATTTAACTGCTGCTGGGATAAATGAGTTTTTAAATCTATTAGTCCTGAAATTTAGTCACCTGGTATCTGCATCCAGACGGGAGCAGCCTGAACCCACCATGGAGTGGGTGATCAGGGTCTGCCAGGACCAGTCTGGCCTTTTTCACTGACCTGACCTTGTGTAGCTCAGTGAGGTCTATAGGTAGGTCTATACCAGCAACTCTGCTGCACATCCTGACAATCTCTTGTTCTTACATGTTAAAATTCCAAACCAACAAATAAAAGTAAAAGTTAAAAGCAACTCAATAAAACATTCTCATAAAAGTAGAATCAACATTAAAKCCACAGCTTCCTCATCATCATTTAATGATCAGTCATTTGACATTTCTAAAATGAATGAGGAATTAAGAGTAATGTGAGTTTTCTTAGTTGGCCTTCCCATCATAGACTTAACTCCCTCCCAAGCCAACCGGGAGTTATTGGACCTGAACATGTTCTCCYCCCTCTCCTTATAGTTCACTCTAGCTAATTTTAGTTCTTTCTTAACTTCTTGTTTCAGTATGCGGTACTGAGCCAWGTCTCCTTTTTTAAAACTAATATTCTGCAGGTTAATTGTATTTTTAACTGATTTATACATCCATGGTTTATTATTAGCAAAATGGTAACTGTTTTCCTGGGAATAACCATTTCCTCACTAAAATGAACATAAGAAGAAACAGTGTCAGTAAGTTCATCCAAACTAGTGCAGGAATGTTTAAACATGTCCCAATCAGTGCAACTAAAACAGTCCTGAAAACACTGAATGGACTCCTCTGACCAAACCAGAACTAACTGTTGCTCTGGCTTGTGTTTCCTCAGGATGGGTTTGTAGTGTGGAACCAAATAACATTGTGGTCCAATGAACCAAGTGGAGCTCTACACAGAGATCTATAAGCATCTGTCATGGTTCCATAACAATAGAATATATTGTGTAGTATAGATCTTGGAGAAGTTGTGCTCTATGTACTTCCCATGGATGTTTTTGTAAACAGACTCTCTGCCCGCCTTTCCCTCCTCCCACTCCTGTGTGTGAACCAGAATCGGGAAGCAAAGCTGAAGGTCACACAGATGAAAAATAATATCACTGTTCTGGGACTATGACTGGGCGGGGCTGTTTGGAGACTGSTTACAGACAGTTTTATTTTTCAGATACTCACGTATGTGCATACAACTGTAGCAGGAACTTAAGGAAACAGTTCCACACCAAAACTTTGAATCAATACTTCCTCATCCTCCCATATCTACAGAGAACAATGCTCGCCCCCTTTGTCTCCACTATCTGCAAATGCTAAAATAAACAGGAACTGCAACCTTCCATTGATTAAGCCTTGTTGTGAGATCCCTTTTAAGTGTTCAAAATGGCCGTTATCACAAAGGACCCACCATTTGCCAGATGGAAAGTCTCCAGAAGTGGGTTTACAATCCACATCTAGACCCTAGGAGACTGTGTTCCCTGCTGAGATAATGCCCACGAATAATCTTCAAAGACATACCTAARATACAATCTCATTTATGGTCTTAGAGCGCACCTAAAAGGCTGGTCTCATAATCACATCATGAACAAATGTTTTTCTGGGTAAATTTCTGTTGTTTGTTCATCTGAAAAAAAAAGAAGAAAAAGAAACAATGTATTTTTCTATCATGACTCAATCACTGTGATAATATCTTGATTTAATCACTGTACAAGTAACCACATCAATCTGTGTTGTTTAATCATTTTTAGCAGCATGTGATGTCAGTGAAGCGGGTGACAACCCATGTGACTATCTCAGCCAATCGGAAGTTTGTAAAGTCAGGACAAGAGATAACATATTTTTTATTGTAGTAGAGAGTTTTGAAAACAGCAGCGAGAGAGAACAGACAGGAGTTCAGGTTCCTTCATTCCCTTCGGGGACATTTATTTTAATTTTAATTTTTTTGTTTAATTTTTGTAGTGTAGAGACGCGAGTTGTTCAGGAAACTGAACTGGCCAGAACTTCAGTTGGCTCCATCTGGACCCAAACCGACCTCCTCATCTCTAGCTTGAAGCCGACCCCAGACTGCCTTGGTGTGTCCAAGCTGTACCCACAAGGGACCCCTTTGAGACCGAGCGGCACCGGTGATTCATCCTCCATCTGTTTGTTTATTTATTTGTTTGTTTGTTTATTCATTCATGATTGCAAACTCTTTCAGTTTTTACCTGGTTCAACATGTCATCATTCATTACTCACCATAGTTGTAAATACATTTAATCTGTAAATAAATGGCCCGTGGAGAACGTGCCAACATAAGCTAATCTCATTTTTGTGTCTTGATAAAAGATATTATTGGTTCTGATAAGACAAGAACTCATCAAATCATTTTGTGTACCTTTATTGTGAGACTGATTACAATGAAGTTACAGTTTTTCGTCTCTTTCCTGAGTCAATCCTGGACCAAATTAAGAGCGTGGTGCCTCGAGGTAATATATTTAAATATAATTTGTGTGTTCGCAAATTATCTATTTTAGAATATACCCAAAAACCCCTACACTGATGATTCTGTCATCCTGTCTCTTCTCAGCAGTGATGATCCTAACCATGGGCCGGTGGTCAGAGACTTCACTGAATGGTGCCAATCTTCTTTTTTTACAGCTAAATGTCTCAAAGACTAAGGAGATGGTCATTGATTTTAGAAAAAACTCTTTGGTTGCCACTCCTGTGATTATTAATGGTGAAGCTGTGGAGGTGGTACACCGTTATAAACACCTTGGAACTGTTTTGGATGACAAACCGAACTTTGATGCCCATGTTAACTCACTTTGTAAGAAGGCCCATCAGAGTATGTATTTTTATAGGAAGCTCTGTGCTTTACTTTTATCTGTTGATATGGCATTTTAACCTGTAAGAACAAAAACAAACTCTTGGGGATTGTCAAGATGTGCAGCAGAATGTGGCAATTGGTGCTTGTCACCTGCACCTTCCTAATTGGCCACCGGCTGATGGAGATCACCTGCAGCAGGTTTCCTTGATGAGCTCCTCGGCTTTATCAGACGGCACTGAAGATCTGCTTCTCGCCGGAGCAACACATACCTATGGTATTTGTCCTGGCTATTCATATTGTTAAATACCTTGAGTTACTTACCTGTGTTTTTCCATGTTTAGTGATCACCTGTGGACCAGAAGCTCTCTGAGAAGAACCTGCCTCTTGCTCACCTGCCTGTCTGCCTCCAACCTGTGTTGAAATAAATCTCCCTCAGTAGTGATGGGCAAAAGAAGCTTTTCTGAAGCTTGCTTTGAAAAAGGGTTCATTACTCGAAGCTTTCCAACACAGTTCTCTTTGGCTCCATCCTGTGGTCAAAAGTGTGAGAAGCTGCTTGAAACAACACAAAGTGAAGCGCTTCATAGCGAAGGAGTTGACAGCTTTTTAATTAATATTTCTGTTTGCTATCAGGTTGTCATTGTGTTGCTTGAATAGATTTTCTTTTTTTTTTTCTTTTTTTGTGGGTGAGAATAAAGTTATGGTTTATGGTTTATTATAAATGAATTTAAATTGTGTCCATCTTATTTC